GAACTAATGAAAATTTTCATTTAAAGTATTGAATTCTAAAATAATAATAATAATAATAAAATGAAATAAAAAATTAACGGGGCGGGGCCCCCGTTACCCGTCCCCACCCCGAATCTGCCTCGAGGCAAAATTCCCTGCCCCATCCCCATCCCTGCGCCGTTACCCGATTAAGCGGGTTATCCCTACCCCGTTCGTGGAGGGGGCCTCGCGGATATCGTGTTTGTCTGATTTTTTTGACATCCCTAAAAGAAAGTTTTAAAATCTATTGAATGTAAAATTTATCAAAAGTCAACATTAGATTGTGTTTGATGAATATTATAGAGGGAATAATACATTTCAAATAGTGATGTGACGATAAATATGTGATTAAAAAGTAAGGAAAAATTGTTGATGTGATGTAAAATATTATTTTATTAAAGAATGTGCGATTGAAAATACGTTTTAAAAGAATATATTTTGAAAGAATATGCGTCAAACATGGGCAAAGTCTACAAAAGGTTGCAATCAATCTTTTTCTTGCCAGTTTGTGTAAATTTCCCTTTAAATATGAAAAACTATTTGGCACTTTCCTAAGTAGCCTTTCACAATGGGGTCGGCGAGGTTAAAGAAATTACATCTCTATTCTCCTGCCGCGTTAAACTTTAATAATACATAGACCAAGACCTAAAATCAATGATAAATGTATCATTTCACTCCCACCTTATCCTACTTTCTTGGTAGTTTGAAATTAAAAAACGAGGAAAAAGAAAGTGGAAGAAGTAGAAGAAGGTTCCTTGTATTTGTTGTTTCATCTTGTCTAAAAGTTTGACTCGTTAAAAGGACACATTTATTTATGTAAATGTAGCTTTGTATGAAAGTAAGATTCATAGAAGGCTTGATGTGCGCTTAACTTTTTAGTTTTTATTAAATGATTCGTGTCAAGTGATCACCTTGTATAAAAGATAACGATATAGATGAGATTATCCATAGAACTTTTTGTTGAATCAGTATTTTCCATGGACTCTTTTATATATAATCGCCCTTAAACCTCCTGATAAACTTGATTGCCTATATTCTAAAATTCTATCTTACTCCATTTTTTGATTTAGGTTGTCTTCTTGAATCGTCTTGAACACACTGACAACCATGCCAAGCAATAGTTTTCGGGCATCCGACAGTGTCTCCGGCCGTATCCACCAGGCAGCAGATTCAAATACAAGGATCGACGTTGAGTCATCTCGTTTCTCCACGTTTGATCCTGCACACATCACTAAGCTTGTAAGAACAAAAGATAAAAAATGGCTTCGAGATCATGGAGGTATAGAAGGCATGGTGTTAGTCCTGGAATCAGATGTGGAGAATGGCATCAGAGGTGATCGAACTGACATTGACAGCAGAAGAAAAGCCTTCGGTTCTAATCTTCTTCCCGAGTATAATCTGCGAAAAATATTTCACCGTCTCGCGTTGGAAGCAATTAGAGATCCCATGATTGTTGTTTTGTTTATATGTGCTGTGCTTTCTCTATGTTTTGGCATTCAAAAACATGGCCTAGGACAAGGATGGCAAGAAGGGGTGACAAAAATACTTGCTATTCTTGTAGTGGTAATTGTTTCCTCCAGCGGAAAATTTTGGCCAATCAGTCAATGCCTTGAATTTTCAGATATCAGCAGCTATATTCCTGAAACTGATGTTGTGAGAAGCAGTAAATGGCAGCGAATTCCAATATGTCGTGTTGTTGTCGGAGACATAGTTTTTCTAAAGCCTGGTGATCAAGTTCCAGCTCTACCTAACAAGTATCTACCGACAATACTACATACAGATATGACGAAGACAGATGGGCAAATTGATCGAATCGAAGTGGACGCACACGAGAATCCATTCTTGTTCTTTGGCAGTACAGTTGGGGATGGTTATGCCAGAATGCTAGTAACAGCAGTTGGCAAGAACGTAAAGCACCATGGGATTTCTTTGAGGTGGTCATTAATTGACGAGCTCAAAAGAATCACCTCTATAGTAGGCAAATGTGGGAAGACAGTTGCTCTTCTGACATTTATGGTGTTTTTGTTGCGTTTCTTGACAGGAAAACTATACGATGATAACGTAAAAAGGGTGTCTTTCGGTGGAGAAACAAGAATTCGTGATGTTCTTGCTGTCCTTGTTGGGATTCTGGCTACTCCAACAATGATTGCTTCGACATCTAGGCCAGAAGATTTGGTTTCGGCTGTCAGAACCTGTATTGCTTATTCAATGAAGAGACTGATGAAGAGTAAAATTCTTGTGAGAGAACCCTCAATCTGCCAGGCAGTTGCATCTGTCACCACTGTCTGCATGAATAAAACTGGAACCTTAACTATGGATTCCATGGAGGTACTACTTTGTCTTTCCCAGCCCACTTAATCTACTCTTCATGGT